GTTGAACAGGCGTTTGTACCATCAAAGACACCTCTGTAGGCTTACTTGCTTCATTGGAACCCTCTCCCATGACTTTCTCATCTGCAAGCTTGTCTTGTTGAACAGGCGTTTGTACCATCAAAGACACCTCTGTAAGCTCACTTGCTTCATCGGAACCTTCTCCCATTTCCGAGTCGTCCAATGGCTTATCACTTTGAACAATCTCTTGCTCCATTGAAGATACCCTTTTAGGCTTATGCGGTTGATTGGAATTTTCCCCAGTAAAAGACTTACCTCCAACACTGACAGCTTCTCCGTGTTCTTTGCGTTCTTCTTCTATAGTCGATAACTCAACTAGTTTCTCAGTTACGCTAGGCTTTTCTTCTTCTGCAGGCTTCTCTTCCATCATTGATGTATCCTCAATAGGTTTATCTGATCGACTGCCCTCTTCTACCATTAATGATTCATTGTTTGAAGTTTTTATCCCTTCAACGAATGGGGATTCCTCAGCTGATTGGTCTGTTCGATTCGGTTTTTCTTCCATTGCCTGCTCTGCTTCTACTGTGTTGCTAGCTGTACTGGTCCCAGGGCCTTGTGTACCAGACGTTATTGTTGTCAAGGTCTGCGAAGACGGTGTCTGTTTAAAAATAATAATATTAAATAAAAACATTAAAAAATATATGATATATATAAACAATAAATAATAATAATAATAATAATAATAATAATAATAATAAATAATAATAATAATAATAATAATAAAACAGTCCAAAACAGGCGTGACAATTTTTCTGATTAATATGCTTTCTGACAATAACTCCATTTGCACCACCATCGATCCCCCCCTGCCAACACAAGAGGAAAGCGTCAATTTTAAWTTCTACTTTACAAATCGTTCAATCAAAACGTGAGGTACGGTTACGTCAGAATACGACACGGCTATGATATCGTTAGCTAGAGCAGTTTTCCCATGACTGTGAAGCGTGCCGTGCAGTGATGTTTTCTATGATTTCTGGCTAATTCGTTTTCTAGCGCAATGTGGTTGGTCTGACAGTGCCGTGACTTTGGCGTGACCGTGTACGCGTTGTGTTAATGCCGTTAATGCCGTTCCAGGATTTGATTGGATGCACAGTAAATTTTCGAGCAATGTGATTGGTCCGGCGTATTTGGCCTTCCCTTAATAAGGTAAATAAAAAAATGTTTTTTAAATATATCTTGTTTTAATAGGGGGCCACGTAAAAAAAATTCAGTTTGGGAAGGGGTCGTACATTTGTTTTACTTGCAATCCAAAAAGTTCCCCCCCCCCCCTCCCATGCCGTTAAAAAAGAACGGCCCCAAACCTGTTAAACAGGCACATACCTGATCAGTCAGTTTCCTTGGTGACACAGGGGATGAACCAGACAATGACCTCCCTTCTCCTGAGAATGCTTTTTGTGTTCGTCCAGTGTTCCTACTAATGACCCCACTAAACGATGCCTCAGTGTTTATCACTGATGAAGAGTGTTGTGAGGCCGATGTACCACTGGCTTTCATTTGCTGGTTGTGAGCTAGAGTCAGAGTCTCCTGGTTCAATGGTTGGACCGGTGTGTGGGTCTTTCCTAGGCACAACTCTATGTGGTCTTTATCTTTGTTGTAAGCAAATACCTGGGGAAATAAGTGATCAGACGCATTTATGACAGGAACTTTTAGAGCACATGTCATTCCTTTGTATACTTTTCTTTCCTTGTCGGTAGCCATTGGATCTGGGATATTCTATCGATAGCTGGTAACAACCTCTGGACTGGGCAAAGTCAGAGAAATCATGTGACACATGAATATGRATACAGCTCAAACAAAGAAAATACTCAAGAGGTGAGAGGCGAGTGCACTACTTCTGTACCACACTAGGGATGAGGGCAAAACAATTGCMTCTCGCGGTAYCCGATTTAGAGGGGAGGGGAGGTGTTACCCAGAACCCACCACCTCTGGAAGTGAAATCTTAGATTTTGTCCCAAAATATTTCCAAAACTAAAAGCCAAATCATAGAATCAATGGACCGTCTGTCTGCATGTATGCTAAGAAAGATATTTGTATATAGAAATTGCCACTACAGACCCCCAGTGTCAAGCATTTGAACAGGTCTCTGAGGGGGGAGGGATTATGTACCGGTAACCACCACCTTAATTCATAAAATCGGGTCCCTATTTTGGACCATTGTTTTGGCCTCGCCCCCTAGAGTCCCTATTCAAAAAGAGGGTTGGACCTACCCTACATGTAGTGTGCACTGTACATGTATATATTAACCAACAACGCCCTATTTCTATTGTTTGATGTTGGGTTTGAGTTTCGATGGAAAACCTGTCCCAGGTTTGGAATTTAGCATTAATAATAACAGGGGAGAGCGGGTCTGGATTCAAAACCYGGGACAGGTTTTCCATCGAAATTCAAACCCTCCATCAAACATTAACAATAGGGCCTGGTTGTTTTTTGAACCAGTTAAAACGCACATGCTCGGATTTGCATTGAAATTCAGGACCCTCGCCCTAGCGTTTTATCCTTTATACACAAACATGTCTAATTAAAAGTTCTAGAAATCAAGACTGACCTTGTTTGGTAGTTGGGGTATCGTAAAATGCTGATCGTCTACCAAGGGTCCAAGATTAGTCACCAGGTTATAGTAGTATCCACCATTCTCAAACATCTGGGGGGTCCTGCACGCTGCTTCCCACAGGTCGTTACCTAGGTTACCTGACAATGCGAACAGCACCGATGCTAGCGCTGATGTGTCAAAATCCACTGAAAATAATAATAAGAAAAGTCATGAGAAGCCATAGCGGTGACGTAGTGTTTAAACCAAGACTAATGTGAAATACAAATGAAACTCTGGTTGATAACACATGATGTCATTGTAGGCTGGTTATGAGATTCATGAAATTCATTCATCTGATTGGTACCGAGCAATAGAATACTCTCTGGTTGATAGCACATGATGGGCAGTGAAGTTCACAAATTTCATTGATCCCAAGCAATAGCCCTCTTCACAGTTCCCTGCGCCATTTTGAACGGTAGGCCAACAGTAGGCTAGCAATGATAGAGACATGTGAATAATTGCCCAAGGTGTTGAAAAAAAAGGTCTCTATTGTTGCAAGCTCACCATTAGTCTCACTTTTTGAAAGGGACTTCTATTGCTTACCATCCATAGGAGTATCTTTCTTTTTCTCTTCACATTCTTCCTCAGGACCTTCACTACCCTCCCCTCCCACAGCACCAGCCACRTCCATCTTCTTCTCCTCCGGCATCTCCACATCTATTGGTTGCGGTGCTACAGGTTCTGGGGGAGGCAACACTTCTACCGTTACTCTATCCCCATGCTGTATTGGTATTGGTTCCTCTTCTTTGCCTTCTTCTGGGGGGTTCAACAAATGAGGGGGGAATCCATATCGAATCTTCTGATCCCCTGGAGGTACCCCTAGTTCTTTGTGGATGGCTTCTTGTAATTGGCTGAAAGTAGCGTTTAGGGGTAGGGTGAGGTCGTGTTGTCCACCTAAAGATGAYGTCAGGCGGATTTTCTTGTCTGTTCTTTGGGCATGAGTTGATGTTGGAGTTTGAAGGGAAGGAGTTGGTGGTTTTTTGTTCTAAAAAAAAAACAAGATCATTTTAGATTGGGTCCTGTGGTCAAAGGTTCAATACTGTGACTCAACAACATGTGGCAAGCATGAGCAGTATGYTTTGCTAATGCACCTCTTCAATGAAACCTGGGTTCAATAGACGACTTACACTAACAGGCCACATGACGCCACCTCCCTTAAAAGGAGGAGTTGTGTGAAAACCAACTTTAGAAATGAAAAGAACAGCTCAACATTAGTAAAAAGGGTGAAGATTCAGCTCATAACGTTGATTATAGGATAACTGGGATTAAACATAAAATCGAATATTTTATAAGGATTTGCATGGGGAAATGTGCTGGATGGTAAAGCTTTTCCATCCAGCACATTTCCCAAATCCTCATAAAATTTCAGATTTTATATTTTAATTCCCTTTTTCCTGTTTCGCTTGCTATGAGCTAAAACTCTGCCACTCTATTAATATTGAGGTGCTCTTTTCATTTCTGTTGTTCATTTTAACAAGGCTGCTYGTTTTAAGGGAGGTAGGGTCACTTGACCTGTTAAGTGCAAGTCGTCTATCCCTGGACTCGTCGTAATATGTGAGTAGGGTTGCTTGTTGGTTCTCTCCTGTGCTTTAAGGGTTTCCCCAGGTTCTCCTTTCTTCCTTTCTCCACAAAAATCAACACTCTTATTTCGATCTGATTAGGCATTGACTGTTATAGTGAATCATGAGTTTCTGCCTCGGTAGACTTAGCAATCCCTCCCTGTATGGTCAAAACAGACTAAATCTCATTTTCTAATGGTTTTTTGTTGGTTTTCTCCTGTGCTTTGAGGGATTTTTTATGAATTCTCAGGTTACTACGATGTCTAAATATTTCAAAGTTTTCTCATACCTGGTGTTGTTTTGGAGGGCTTTTCACAGGTGATTTTTGCAGTTTTGTCTGCCTGTGCTGTGTTATCGCAGCATGATGCTCAGTCTTGATTTTGATTCTTTTCTCTGTCTCACTCTGCGTCAACTCTTCTCTGTGGAAGGTCTTTTTCTTCTGCCCTGTGAGGATGATCTTGGAGGGAATGAAGGCATCTACTGCCGCGGCTTCAGATGATGAGCAGGGTGGTAGATTTGGAATATCTGGACGAGCACCTGTGTATGTACCAACAGACAAAAAAAAAATTATTTCTTTATCGCAATGATGAAAAGAAAATAGTTTTGCATATGGTAGCTGCATTCTCTTCTTTCACATAACTATAATATTTTGCAGCATTGGGTGCTAACCATAGGAAAAAACCACACTTACTGGAGCAGAACTAAGTTCTACTTTGTGCAACACTACTGTATGTGTAATAAGAAAATTGCAAGACAACCGCTGTTTCACTGTGCAATTCTATAGCAACTTGTCTTGCATTGACATTGCAAGAAAAGTTGCTGGGAAAATTGCACAGTGTAGCAGGTGTGGAATGAGTGGGTGTGTGGATGGATGGATGGACGGATGGATGGACGGACGGATGGATGGATGGATGGATGGATTTATTTATACTAATTTATAATACTACATGCAATAATGTATAACAATTTACCTTTATTTTCGCCTTCTTTCCTAGCCGTCTGCCTCAATATGGTGTCAACTACTTTCTGCACCAGCCTCTCACTGCCAAATTCACCAGGGAAATGATTCTGTACCAGTCTCCCAGCTACCTCATAGACATTAGAGTTTAACGACTCATCACTTTCATGTTGAAACCAGTAGACATTCTCCTTGATGCTTTTACCACCCCATTCAAGGGCCACTGGAAAGCTGTGCAAAAGAAATGATATTTTAGAGTAAGCAATCTGGTATCGCAAATTGTACATAATTCTGATTGGTTAAGATACTGGTAGCTTATTTCTCATTTGAAAGATAGAAAAAAGATAGAAAAAAGGGAAAAAATAGTCTTTTTTCTGTCATTTTGTTATAATAATAAAAATAAAAATAAAAATATTATTATTATTATTATTATTA